TGTGCGTGCCTGTGTGTGTGCCTGTGTATGTGTGTGCCTGTGTGTATGTGTGTGCGTGCCTGTGTGTGTGCCTGTGTTTGTGTGTGCCTCTGTGTGCCTGTGTGTGTGTGTATTTGTGTGTGCCTCTGTGTGCCTGTGTGTGCGTGTATTTGTGTGTGCCTGTGTGTGCGTGTATTTGTGTGTGCGTGTATTTGTGTGTGTCTGTGTGTGCCTGTGTGTGCGTGTATCTGTGTGTGCGTGTATTTGTGTGTGTGTGCCTCTCTGTGCCTGTGTGTGCGTGTATTTGTGTGTGTGTCTGTGTGTGCCTGTGTGTGCGTGTATCTGTGTGTGCGTGTATTTGTGTGTGTGTCTGTGTGTGCCTGTGTGTGCGTGTATCTGTGTGTGCGTGTCTGTGTGTGTCTGTGTGTGTGTGTATTTGTGTGTGTGTGTATTTGTGTGTGCCTCTGTGTGCCTGTGTGTGCGTGTATTTGTGTGTGTGTGCCTCTGTGTGCCTCTGTGTGCATGTATTTGTGTGTGTGTCTGTGTGTGCCTGTGTGTGCGTGTATCTGTGTGTGCGTGTATTTGTGGGTGTGTCTGTGTGTGCCTGTGTGTGCGTGTATCTGTGTGTGCGTGTATTTGTGTGTGTCTGTGTGTGCCTGTGTGTGTGTGTATCTGTGTGTGCGTGTATTTGTGTGTGTGTGCCTCTCTGTGCCTGTGTGTGCGTGTATTTGTGTGTGTGTCTGTGTGTGCCTGTGTGCGCGTGTATTTGTGTGTGTCTGTGTGTGCATGTATTTTTGTGTGCGTGTATTTGTGTGTGCCTCTGTGTGCCTGTGTGTGTGTATTTGTGTGTGTCTTTGTGTGCCTGTGTGTGCGTGTATTTGTGTGTGTGCCTGTGTGTGCATGTATCTGTGTGTGCGTGTATTTGTGTGTGTGTCTGTGTGTGCCTGTGTGTGCGTGTATTTGTGTGTGCATGTATTTGTGTCTATGTGTGCCTGTGTGTGCGTGTATCTGTGTGTGCGTGTATTTGTGTGTGTCTGTGTGTGCCTGTGTGTGTGTGTATTTGTGTGTGTGTCTGTGTGTGCCTGTGTGTGCGTGTATCTGTGTGTGCATGTATTTGTGTGTGTGTGCCTCTGTGTGCCTGTGTGTGTGTATTTGTGTGTGTGTCTGTGTGTGCCTGTGTGTGCGTGTATTTGTGTGTGCCTCTGTGTGCCTGTGTGTGCATGTATTTGTGTGTGCCTCTGTGTGCCTGTGTGTGCATGTATTTGTGTGTGCCTCTGTGTGCCTGTGTGTGCATGTATTTGTGTGTGCCTCTGTGTGCCTGTGTGTGCATGTATTTGTGTGTGCGTGTATTTGTGTGTGTTTGTGTGTGCCTGTGTGTGCGTGTATCTGTGTGTGCGTGTATTTGTGTGTGTGTGCCTCTGTGTGCCTGTGTGTGCGTGTATTTGTGTGTGTGTCTGTGTGTGCCTGTGTGTGTGTGTATTTGTGTGTGCCTCTGTGTGCCTGTGTGTGTGGCTCCTCAGCTGGAGAGAGGTCTCCCTTCCCAGCTGGCACTGGAGGCCCCCTCCCCTGTCCTGCCTTAACCAAGCTCCGGTTGTTGCTCCCACCCAGTTTTCCAGAAAGCTCACCCAAGCATTTTCCATGTAAGAGGAAATCTGCCCGAACTTCTCGGATGGGGCAGTCTCCCCGGAGAGAAGAGAAGGAATTAAAGCCCCAAAGGCTGGAGGATCACAGCTTCCCACTGTCCCTGGCTGGCTCGGGTGCATCTTCCTTCTGGAGGTGCAGCGGTCTGGCCCAGCTTAGGCGTCGGAAAGGGGAAACTAGCGTGGGGGCCACGTTGCTGTGGGCATCAAGATGTTTGGATACTCCTTTTCGGAGGGTTAGTGTTTCCCTAGAGGTGGGCCCCGTGCAGCCCCCATGCTCACGCCGTCCGGCTGATTGGTTTTGCTGGGTTTCTGTGGAGAAGACCCCCAGGGCCTGCCCGTGGCTGCACTGCAGGAGCCTGAGGGACCGGGGTGCCCACCGGGTTCTCTGAGAGGCTCTCACAACTCCGGCAGCACAGCCAGCTGGGACACATTTCTCCTGACCACATGCGGCCAGAGCCGATGGCGGGCAAGCTGTGACAGCCTCAGGGCGACCCAGCGAGGCCTCTGGGGCCGGTGGTCTCGGGTAAGGTACCCCCTCCTGAGCCTCTCTGGAAAAGCTGGGCGATTACACTGTGCTCCCGTCCCCTGTCGTCAGGGGTCTCAGCTTGTGTGCGCACATGTGTGTGTGTGTATGTGTGTCTGTGTGTGTAGGGGCGGGGTCAGGGGGCATCTGTAAGGCTCTTCCAGCGGCCCTCAACCTCACTGGAGTGGACCAAAACCCGCGTCTGCGGGACCAGCCCCAGAGAGGACAGGCCGAGTGGGATTTCCGCTTGCTCCTTCAGACGGTGTTCCTGGGGGCGTCTGGAGAAAGGCAGCGGATTGAAACCGCATTCGTGGGAGAACCACGCGGCCTGAGTCGGGTACCCGGGGCTGAAGCAGCCCACTTGCCTGTGCGTTTTCCTTAATTTACCAGGACGTGCGTGGAATCGTTTCTCATACCTGTGGGAAGCCACTGGATCAACTGGATGAATAGCAGTGTGAACAGAGAGCTCAGCTAAACAACCACCCACATTTCTGAAGTGCTTGGGATGAAAAAGGCGCTGGCAGGGAGAGACCCATATTGGGGGTTAGGCAGAGCGGGGAGAAGAGAGAACCAGCGCTCCGAGGGTCTGCGGGGATCTTCAGGTCCCCTGTTGACTGCTGTCAAAGTTCGGGTGTGCACGGCCCTGCAGCATGGGGCGGGGCAGGGCGGCCAGGGCGTCTCAGGTCCCGTCCTGGGACTCAGAGCCTCTCAGAGCCCTTGCTTCCGGGGCTCCAGGAGCACCCCAGGAGTGCCAGAGCCTGAGGTGGGCCTTGAGGATGGCAAGGCGGGGAGTGGGGGCCGCCAAGGAGGGGATGTGGGCCTGTAAAAGCCTGTGAGGCTGGCAGAAAAGGCTGTCTGGATGGTGTCACCAACGTCATCGGACTGTTTTACACACTCTGAGACCAGACAGGCCCTCCTGCCCTGGTGTTGCTGCTGACTAGCCAGCTGGTCGTCTCTGTAGGCCTCAGTTTTCTCAGCCATAAGTGGGAGTTAGGCTGGACTCGGTGAACTCAGAGGCAGGAGGACTCTGCAGCCTGCTGTCACCTGGTGCCAAGGACTGGCTACAGTGTTTTTATTGGGGGCAGAGGAAGGATGGGTGGAAGGGGAGAGGTGAGGCCAGAGGTTATCATTACGAGATGCTGAGGCCTTGAACTGACGGCATCAGGACAGTTGGAGAGAGATGCTGCAGGCTGAGGCTTCAGTGACAGGTTTGAAGGGGTCCCCCAGTAAGGAGCCATCCGACACGGCTTGGATCCGTCAGCTTTGAGCTGAAATGTCCAGAGTGCCCAGTAAGGAGTGGGAGTGGGGGTGTGTATTGGCTCTGCCTGGCCACCATGTCTAATCAGCTGCTAGGGGCTTCCTGGCCCACCGTAGTGAGAAGGAACCTGGGCTTCCTTGAATGTGTGTGTGTGTGTGTGTAGAGAGAAAACATGCACATACACACACAGACGCACACCCACACCCCAGTGTGTGCCTTCCATAGCAGGATATCTCCTCTACCTAGAGGCACAACCTTGTTTAGAAAGAGACCCCCAGCTTCATCAATGCCTTGTTCATCGTCACCAAATGGGCTGTTAATTCTTCACCTCTTTATCTGAAACATTTGCATCTGTGTATTTATAGTTGTAATTTTTTTGATATGTGTTTCACACTCAAATATTTAAAATTGATAGTGGGAGAGTGTTTTTACTCATCCTTCCACCACTCTTTGTGCCGGTGACATTTCCACCATGAAGAGTCGGGGCAGGGCTGAGGCCTGGTCCGGCCCTGCTCTTGACAGCCTCTGTGGTCTATGAGCACGTCCCCCAGTCAATGGCAGTATAAGTCATCAGGGGCAAACTTGGTGAATTGGAGACATGAAACCGTTTGCTGCTAAGAGCAGTCTCTGTTCCCTGAAAAGTGGCTGGCGGAAGGAATGGAGATTCTGAGAGAGAGTAGGAAGCTGGTATTTCAGTGGGTGTTTATGTGCAGGCTTATCTTTCTTGAGGAGGCAGAGGAGGGGGAGGGGGAAGAAGAAAGAGGAGGAGAAGACAGCTACTCTCTCACGCTTCCCACCACGGGAGGCCCAGAGGTGCGTCAGAGGAGGGGTCTGCAGGAGGGCAGAGCTACGGAGCCTCCCCCTGCCCAGGGATGTGCCAGTCGGAGGTGAGCTAGCATCTCAAGGGAAAACCAACTGCTGGTTCTGAGCTGAACTCTATGAGCTCAGCGTGTATGATTGTCCAAGGATATAGTCTTCCTCTAAAAGTGTGGTGATAAGAAAGAGATGCTGAGTAGAGATAGGAGATAACTTACAAATTAATCTGCAATAGTCTGTGTATGGCCATATAGGTTTGCACATGTCGTTTCCGAGTTCATACTAACTAGTACACTTAAACTCTTACAATTGAGCAGACTGACAAACCAACTTCAAAGCAAATGTAAGCTGGCAAAATAATTACTCAGGCTGGACTTTGTCCAAGTTATCAAGGTTCTCACCTGCTGGGGTCCACTCTCAGGGTACCTGTTTGTACATGTGGCCACGGTGGCTGGCCCTACTGGAAAATACTTGGGAAACCATTTTATAATTTGAGGATATAAAGAAAGTTTCTGCAGTGGTCTAAGAGGGTTCACATTGAACCTCATGTCTTCTTGGGCTGGGTGCCAACCCCAGCATCAGGGCTATCTTCTATTTTCTTTTGATTCTTGCTGCTATACTGCTTTTTTCTTTTACACTTAAAAAAATGAATGAATGTACTTTTTAGAGCAAGTTTCAATTGGCTGCTTTTTTTCTTTTTCATATTCAAGAAGTAAGTGACCTTTATCTCAATGAAAGAGTGGAGCTCATGTCATTTTTTGCCTTCTTTATCCCCTAGCAGGCATTTACCCCGTGGATATTTTGGAAGACGACCCTGCTGGGCATCAGGAAGCGACTCTGGCTTACTATGCCATGCTTGGGGAAGGAGCGGGGCCCTCACCACAGGTTTTCTCTCTTCCCACTGGGGAGCAGGTATGTATGATCTTCTAATTGGTGGAGAGTTTTGTATAATCTAACTTATTAGAAAGGAGAATGTTAGTGAAAGAGTATTAGAGATTAAAAAAATAAATCCTTCTGGAATGAATACTAGAATGATTCCACTTTGAGAAGCAAAAGGAATCCTGGACTGGGGTCATGGGGGTAAGTCCAGATCTATAAGGCAGTCAGCATGACAATCTGCCGTGAACTTCATGTCTACCACTCTAGAGCTGTGTGATCTTAAGCAAGTGTCTTTACCTCTCTGGTCTTGCTGTTCTCATCTCAGGATTTGGGACAATAGCAGTGCTTACCTTGTACTATTGTTCTGAGGATTAAATGAGAGCTGTGTGTGTTGTCTGGCTGGCCTCAGTTTTCCCATTTGTAAATGAGGGGATTGACTGACCTCTAGTCTCTAAGGTTTGATTAAGTCCTAAAAGTTTGTGATTTGGAATGAAGTTGCACCAATTATGATTTTTAGCACTGATAAAATTATGCTTTTGAATATGGACTGGAAGAAATTAGAAATGAAAACTTAGGATGGTGGGATTGTGAGTGAAATTTAATAATTGTGCTATTTTTAAGACCTTTCCCCCCTTAAGTAAAAAGAATATGTGAATCTTGGACTGTACCTAAACTGGTTAGCTGCTTTTCAGATTTGAGGCTGATTTGCTGAAAGAGGCAAGATTTTCTTGTTTTATACAAATAAAAGTTCACTCATAACAGGAGTTGTTGCTGTCTGGCAGGCAAAGTTAGTTGAGGAAGACAGGGTTTTATTTTGCTATACTGAAGTTGTTCGAGAGTTAATTAAAACAATGGCTTGTACAGTTTATATAGTGTGGCTTCCTTGAGATTTCGGAGATGCTTGTTTGTAATCAACTTCTGGAAGAATTCAGCTCCCAAGGGTGATTCCTTATTCTGGATTTGCAGAGGGAGGTGGCTGTAAGCACACGCTTTCAGCGCCGCCTAGTGACACCTATGCTGGAAGGCGAGTAGGCGCTCAGTCAAGGCTAAGGCCTTACTCTTGGGGGGCTTACTCTTGGGGAGTGGGGGGCTGGTGGGCTGAGGGCTGCTGGACAGAGTATGGGGCATGCTGGGTAATTTAAGAAGGGTGGTGAAATGCAGGAGTTAGCCGAAGTACTTTAGGATGCACTCTGACTCATCTGCTTTTATTTCATGCTTATTTATGGGTTACAACGTTACTTACACAACAAAACAAATTCTAATATGTAGTGTGCTCACAAAGTGAATAATTTTAGTGTTGTTATTAGCAAAAATCATAATAAAATAAGATTGTTACTAGAATTAAGTTGTTTTAATGTGATAGAAGTGCTGAAATGTCTTTCCACCAATTTGCTTCTCCTAAAAAAAAAAAAAAACAGTCCTGAAAATAATCATTTGGTTTCCTACCATTTTAGCAATTAATTAAGAAAGGGTAGCTGTTTCCTACCACATAACAGGTTTTGAAATAGTTTGATTTGTGATGATTATGGATCTCCTCTTTGCTTTTAGCAAATTTAACTTTTCTTTTTGATCCCAGAGAAATTTTTTCAAACAAAACAATAAAAGACAAGATAAGGATGTACCATACCACATCACACTGGTCCTGCCCAGAATCTTTTCTTTTCATAATTAACTCTGTTTTCAGTCTTGAAATTGTCTTATCATATTTAAAATACAATAATACTTATTGATTTCTCCTGGTTATAGAACAGTGTATGCTCAATGTATACTATTTGAAAACTACAGCCAAGGACAGAGAAAATAAAATCACCCATGTTAATTGCTGTGGACATGTTGGAGTGTTTCTGTTGGTTTTATTTCTGGGCATGCCTTTTAAACATGCAGATCGCACTCGGAATGCAATATTGTCTATAACAAGCGTATTTCCATGTCGATACGATGCTTCATACATATTGTTTCTAAGGGCCTTATAATGGCTGTCCGCTGGGTGAGTCTGAGGGCCTCACGTGGCTACCTCAGGGGCCAGCTCAGGGACTCTTCGTTCAGGTGACTGGAACATAATCAGGTGCCAAAATGATGACGGGTCTCAGGATTTAAGAAGCAGTCCTCTGAAACCGTGGAGGTCTGCTATAAACTTTTACAGGCGGTTTGCCTGCCTCACTCAGCCCACACATCCTTTTCTCATTCTCTTCCACTCTCCTTGGTCAAAACAGACTTTGCCGTGGAATGCGTTGTCCTTTTGCTTAGGGAGCTGAGGCCTGTGGGTTTGGTGGCCGGGGACAGGACTTGGCACGTGGGCACTTGAGAGAAGGCAGCCCAGTGTCAGAGACCCTGCTTGGAGTCCTTAGGGTCATGAGCACACACGTGCCGTGCGCTGCGGCTCTTCACCCCCGGGGCGCCTCAGAGCCAGAGGACAGCCTGGGTTCCCAGAGAGGGTGTGGGCTTCTCGAGGCTGCTGGCCGGGCCTGAGCCCGGCTCTGCGGGTGGGCACAGCCTTGTCTTCCCTTGTGGCTCAGCTGGTGAAGAATCTGCCCGCAATGCGGAAGACTGGGGTTCAGTCCCTGGGTTGGGAAGATCCCCTGGAGGAGGTCATGGCAACCCACTCCAGTATTCTTGGGCTTCCCTTGTGGCTCAGCTGGTAAAGAATCCGCCTGCAATGTGGGACACCTGGTTCGATTCCTGGGTTGGGAAGGTCCCCTGGAGAAAGCAAAGGCTACCCACTCCAGTATTCTGGCCTGGAGAATTCCATGGACTGTCTAGTCCCTGGGGTTGCAGAGAGTCGGACACGACTGAGCGACTTTCACGTCACTTCCCAGGCTTGTCCAGGCTGTTTGCACAGAGTGGCCACAGGAGGATCCTTGAGGTCAGCCTGGCAGGTGGGGCCTCACGTGGCCTCCGGCTTTCGCAGGTGGAGACCCAGCGGGGATTTGGGTGGGGAAGGCTACTGAGGCCAGAGGGGATGGAAGGAGAGGCCGCGAGGACTGAGGAGACAGTCAGCTGTTATCCGGTAGCCAGGTGAGGGAGGGGACGAGTGGGTCTGCTGGGGGAGACGGAGGAGGGGCCCTTATCAGGCTGCGCTGGTGTTTAGCTCCGAGTGCTTGAGGTTCCGTGTTCCTGCTCCTCCGTCCTGTCAGAGGAGCCTCTGTGCCACCATGTTCTCTGAACGAGCAGTGTGCTGGCTTAACTGTCCAGCAGTTTCTTGTGCTCTTGCTGTGATGACAGAACCAAATGGTGATTTTTTTTTTTTCAGGTTAAACTTGAAGCTTCGTCTGTTTGCTTTTGCACCATGCACCGTGATGAACCTCAACACAAAATCTTGGTCTTGGTTAATCCCCAGGATACAAAGACAGGTTAGTAGTTATTAATGAATTTAGTACACGAGAATTCTGATTTGTTTATGATGAATGGAATCAAATACCTCAGAAGTGATGGTTGTACTCTTTGGCTGGACTTAGAACACCAAGGCGGAACTGATTTGTTTTCATCTTTTAGAGATCCATGAGGGTGTTATGGTTTCTGTTTATTGACACACGTATTGATTTTTGTGTTAAAGGCACCAGACACCTTCTGGCCCAGAGTCACGGTATTCAGAGCTGCTTCTGAGTGTCACACGTGCTGTTCTTATTATTAGTAACAGCATTGCGTGCACAGCCTGGAGGGTCACCGCAGCCCTGTCAAGTGCAGGGACTGTTGTTTTTTTAAATTTCGTTTCTTCTTATTTTTGACTGTGCCGGGTCTTTGTTGCTGGGCCTTTGTGGGCTTTTCTCTAGTTGCAGTGAGCAGGGGCTACTATCTCATTGCGGTGGCTTCTCTCATGGTTGAGCGTGGGTTCTGGGGTGTGCAGACTTCTGTAGTTATGACCCCCAGGCTCTAGCGGAGGCTCACAGGCTCAATAGTTGTGGTGCAAGGGCTTAGTTGCTTTGCAGCATGTGGGATCTTCCCGGACCAGGAATCGAACCTATATCTCCTGCATTGGCAGGCAGATTCTTTATCACTCAACCACCAGGGAAGCCCCGGGACCATTTTTATCCCTGCCAGACTGGATGAGGAAAGCTGGTGCAGGGTAGGGTATTTTTGCAAGGTGATGATCTGGTGGGGTTTTGTTTCTGGTGGTGAAATTTATGTAATCAGTAGCACATTTATTCTTCCTCTGCATCGTGACCTGTTTGTCACCAATTTCACTGTTGGAAGCTGACCAATTTCAGGTTCTCGGGTGAGTGCTCTGAGCTCGCGTGGATGGCTGTTCTCGGCTGCATGGAGGCGGGGCGGGCCTGGGGCTGCTGGCGGTGAGCAGTGTGGGGTGGGAGAGGGTTCCAGCCCAACAGTCTGCCTGGAGCCCAGGCCACCCAGCAAGCTGGAAGCAAAGCTCCTCATCTGTGACCTCAAGGGAGCCCCAATATAAGGTCAATCCTATTTAGAAATTTACTCTTTTGTTATACTTTAATGTGTTTTTACAGATTTCCCGCAGTGACCATATATTGCTTTCCTAATAAGAAATTTAAAAAACCAAACCAACGCTTAGTGTTACCCCTCCTTCAAGGATGCGGTGTCTGCTGAAAGTTTGGGGTTAGGGGTCTTCAACTACACTTTGCCAAAGGGGCCTCCTTCAACTCTCCAGCTCCCCGGGGATGAACTTTTGCCTTTCACCTTGCATGTCCATTTCAGGCCTGTAGTCAGAGGATGCCCCGTTCCACAGGTGTCACAAAGCCCAAAGTGACATCCTTGACCAGAGAACGTTATTTAGCACATATCTATCATGCATGCTTCTCTCATTACTAATCCTGAGACACGAGTGTGCTTAGTTAGCTGTCTTGGAGTTTTGGGCATGTTGGTGAAGCCTCCTCCTTGCTTCAGGGCTAGGGTTGGCTGAACCGTGTGTGAGAGCTTTCTGGTCAAGGTTTAGGACACTTCCTATTCCTGTTTGGCCAAGTCCTTGTTGAACAAAGGGGCTGGGATAACCCCAGGACTCTGACTTTGCCTTGAATGCCCCAGGTTAGAGAAAGTAACAGGAGGAGCTCACAGATTGTCAAAACACTCTGAAAATATCATTTGCCAATTTTAAGAGGATGTCCAAATATCAGCAGCCCTCTCCTCTGCCTTTTTCTGGTATTTAGCAATATTCTGGTTAAAGGTCTTTAACTGCATTTGCATAATGTAAAAACATATGACTGACTCATAAATCTGTTTCCTATTTCCATTGTACTTAATTTTTCGGTTGTTTTCGAGAATGTATTATAATAAATATTCATAAGCTCTAAGAAATATCACTCTGGATCTTTCTTTATGTTTCCTAGAGCTTTAAATAAAGTTTCCAAATGTTTTCCTGCTGTTGGGCTCCATGATCGTTGCTGAAGTTTTGCATGATTTCCAAAAAGCGCTCAGGTGTTATCCACATCTTGTGCTCTTTACTCTGGTATTTAGAAGCGGGCATCATATGTAAATGATCCTCTGTGGCTTGAGACATGTGGACTCCCAAGCAGCCAGTGGTACCACAGAGCCTCTTGCCTCTTGACGCACGCGCTGCTTCAGCCATGTGCTTACCTGTGACCTTCGAGAAGGCTGGCCCTAGTTACTTTGTAATTTTCCAGTGGCATTCCTGAAGGTCTGTGTGTTTGTGTGTGTGGGTGGTTGCCTGCATGCATGCTAAGTTGCTTCAGTCCTGTCTGACTCTTCATGACCTTTGGACTGTAGCCCACCAGGCTCCTCTGTCCATGGGATTCTCCAGGCAAGAATGCTGGAGTGGGTTGCCGTTCCCTCCTCCAGAGGATCTTCCCAACCCAGGGATGGAACTCGAGTCTCTTTTGTCTCCTGCATTGGCAGGTGGGATCATTACCACTAGCGCCGCCTGGGAAACCTGCTTGTGTGGTTAGATGGAAACTAAAGGGATCAGAGCTGTTTGATGAGACTGTGTATGAGTTAATTATTACAGTAACTTCCAGTAACCCTGTGAGCAAATGAAAGACATCCCAGAATTGTGAATTCCCTGGTGGCAAGCAGTTAATGTTCATGGCGGAATACTGTGAAGATGTGAGTATAAGTAGGCCTTGGAGACCTTATGGAGGTTCTAGACCACTGCAGTAGAATGAATATTGCAATAAAATGAATCCCACAAATTCTTTGGTTTCCTAGTGCATAGAAGAATTATGTTTATACTATTAAGTGTGCAGTAGCATTATGTCTAAAAGAATGTACACACCTTAATTAAAAATACTTTATTGCTAAAAAAAGCTGATTATCATTTGCTGCTGCTGCTAAGTCACGTCAGTCGTGTTCGACTCTGTGTGACCCCATAGACGGCAGCCCACCAGGCTCCCCTGTCCCTGGGATTCTCCAGGCAAGAACATCTGAGACTTCAAAAAGTCATAGTAATCTTTTTGTAATAAGTAATATCAAAAATCACTGATCACAGGTCATCATAACAAGTGTAATGATAATGAAAGAATTTAAAATATTGTGAGAATGACCAAAATGTGACATAAAGACATCAAGTGAGCAATTACTGTTGGGAAAATGACACTGGCCGAAGGTTGTCACAACCTTTGATTTGTTGTAAAAAAAAATGCAATAAAGTGAAGCACAGTAAAGTGCAGTGCAGTGGAATGAGGTCTGTCTGTAATGCAACCTTCCAGCTTTTCTCCTGTAAGAAGCTGGGGACGTGCTTTCCGTGAAGGTGGTCTGAGAGGTGTGTGCCCTTGTCCCATCTGTCCGGCTGCTCCCTGCCGTGCTCACGCTCAGCTGTTTCTCAATCGGAGGCTGGTTTCTGTCCCCGAGGGCACACAGCCAAGGGCTGCCAGGAGCCTCCCTGTCTGAGCTGCTTCTGCACCTCCCCCAGGGCCCTGTCTTTCATTTATTTCCCCTCGTTCACTATTCCTCTTGTTTTTAAATTATTAACTGATCTCAAGTGTTTACAAAGATGAAAAAAATAACTCCTCTCGTCAAAAAAGTTGTCTTTTCTTACCTCTCATATTGAATTAAAAGTGCTCATCCTGGCGTTCCAGATTCCTTCAGCTGATGGCCTTTTGCTCCTCTCATTTCCACCCAGGACCTTTAGAGAATGAGATGAACGTGGACTTTTGGTATCAGACTCAACACACTTGGTGTCCTGGCTCTGCCAACTGACTGGGTGACCCAGATAAATGGTTTGGCATCTCCGAGTCCCAGTTTGGTCATTTGCAAAATGACACCTTAGCTACTTCACAGAGTAGCTGTGAGGATGAAATGATTTGTGGCAGAAAAATCTGATGCTTTGGACTATCCAGGGCAGAGAGCAGGCGTGGGATTAGAAGTAATCTTCCATCATGGAGCATCTTTGCATGTTCTTCTCTGTCTTTGAGTACTGCGTTGTAGAGGCACAGGGCTGTAGAATGGGAGGCCTTCCCGTCAACTGCTGGCCAGGCTTCGGTAGCTGAATTACTTCCTTGGCAGATTCTGCTTGCAAGGCTTATGGAGGGGAAGGCAACCCCACGCTAAGGCCATCTAGCTTGTTTTGGAAGCACTCTTAACGGTAAGACCATTGTTCTTTTTGCTAGTCCCAAAGCGCCTCGTTGAATGAATATCATGCAGTCTGTCCCAAAGCAGCCAGAGATCAAGCACAGGCCAGGGAAGCTATATGTCTACACCTCATGCAGGAAAGGAAAGGAAGCTGCATGCTCATGCTTGGAGTGCAGGGCCCCGGGCGCTGCAGTGGGGGTGGCTGGGAAGCAGATGGGACCAGGGCTGTCTTAATGGAAGGATGATGTTCCCGGTCAATTACAGCCCCCTTCTCTCTGGTGCTGCTCAAGCTGCGGCTGAAACAAACTGGCGCTTATCTGTGGAGAGCAACAGGGGGATGAGAGGGCTTGAAACCATGTGAACAAGGCTCGAGAAACTAGGGCTGTTTAGCTTTAGAGAAGGGAGGCAGGGGTCCAGAAGCTCATGGTCGAAAGGGCATTTAGATCGTTAGGCCCAGTGCTTTCCAAGATGATTGAAGTGGTACTGCTGAATTTCAGAAGGAGAAAAAGGATGACCTTTTGAATTTTATTTCCATCTTAAATGTATCAAGGAAAGTTTCTGTTTCCTATTAACATGGCTATAACACTTAGAACACTTGTTAATCTCCTTTAAAAGAAGAAAGAAAATAGGTCTCCCAGCAGAGTACCCTTAGCTAGAATTTAAAGATTTGTCATTGTAAGATTTATTTTTATAATCATAGCACATGATGCCTCTTTTATGATAGGGCTAAGACGATGGTATATAGGAGCCTGATGGACTATAGTCTATAGGGTTGCAAAGAGTCAGACACGACTGAGCGTCTGAACACACAGAAGATGGAATAGAGGTAGGCCAGAATCACTAAGGTGTGGTCAGGGGC